AGCTGATCTATGGGGTGAGGCACTGCACACTGAGGCAGACCCAAGGTCAGGGCTCCCTCTGTACCCCTGCAACAGCCAGGGACTCCATAGGGTCACAGCCATGCAGAGTCCTGTGTGACCAGAGTCTGTGGGGCCTGGCTGCTCTTGTGGCTTTGTGCATGCATATGTGGTTGTGTCAACCTCAGCGCAGACAAAAAGGACGTTGCCTTGGGCAGCTGTTTTCCTTCTGTGGCAAAACAGTCATGGCCTTGCATCACCTTAACCAAGAGGTAATGGGCTGGCAGGCTGACAGCTGCAGGCAAAAACTGTGCAAAAACAGTTTCACTAACTGGTATTCAAGATCAAGCCTTCTCCCTCCATCTTAAGCCTTCTTGACATGGCAGGCACAGCCAGGTCCCAGCTTCACAGCCAGGGGATGTAAGTTCCAGAACTATGTGGCAAATTTATTCTTTCAAAGTTATTGGTTATCTTACAGGCTAAAGGTACAAAGCCAGCTGCTAAAGAAGTGTAATTAATCCAACCATAATTATCAGTGAGAAAGCACATGCATGTAAGCAAAAGTCAGCAATGGAATCTAAAGCTGTGCTGAATACATCTCATAAAGAAATGAAAGAAAGCACATGTCATGTTTTCTCCTAAACCTTCTTTGCAAGATGTGTTTAATTCAGAATTAGCCTTCCAGTCAGGACCCTCATATGTATACAACTTTTATATCTCCTCCTGGTCTTGGAATTAGCCTGCACTGCCTCTGCTACAGATAAAAGTGACTTAGTGAAATTAGGCTGGTGTAATCCTCATCTTTCAACAACCTGCTGGGACTGGGAAGATTCCATGAAGGCATATATAAATCCTTCTAGAAAATATTTCAATTATACTAAAAATTAATGGTTATACTTTTATATAATATCCAAACCCTTAGCTTTGTTTTTGCCTGGTGTTCCCGTGTAGTCTTTGTATTGCTACTACTGATTGTGTTGGTTTTGTTTTTTCTGAAGGTGGATTTCATTACGAGGGTCCCCAGGCCTGTTCCCAACTGAATGAAGCAGTTATCATGGTGGGGGTCTCCAAGACACATTGTCCATGCCCATCAGAGATGTTTTTTCAATGGTGTTTTTGCCTTACTGGACAATTCCGCTCATGCTCTTGTGGATTTTACCTTTTCTGTTTATAAACATTTTCAGCTCATTTGTTTAAAATTGCCTTATGCAAAATGCAGGGTATTATTCTTTCATTGTTTTTATTAGAACACAAGGCATTGCTCTCTGCTCACAAACACTAAAACCTAGAGTAATCTGTTGTTTCCTCCTCCATAATTAGATATTTTTGCTAAAGTTTCAGCTGTTGTGATAAAAAGTTTCTTCTGAAACAGATGAGACCTACTGGCGTGCCTTGAAGGGGAAGGGAGAGAGGAGAATGTGGTGATACCAGGCTTCAGCTTCTAAAACCAATAAAATTTTCATCAGGTGTCTCCTAAGCTGAAGCTCCAGCATGGATTGATGACTGGATAATTCCAGCCTTACATTTTCTAGCTCAATGATTTTTGGTACAGAAGAGACCAAAACCGTGGTCTCACACAAGAATCACAATGAATAGAGAGAAAGTAAATAGTTTGTAAAACTGCCCTATCTCCAAATTTCTGAGGATAATTCTTTTACCATTTTTGTTCAGCAGAACTGAACATTGCTTACCTGGATGCAGTAGCTTAGTTGTTTTTCCTTAATTAAGACAGTCACAATAGTTCTTCAGGAAGTGCCAGTGCACCTAAACTATGTGTTTGGAAGGTATTAAAGCTGGCTTTCTGGAGGATGCTTTTTCTGTGGAGTGTTTATAAATCACTCTCCAGGTTCACTTCCCTACTGAACACATCCAATTTTTTCAATTATCACTGGCTGTTCACCATGATGGCGGATAACAATGCAAAAACAGGTAGTTATTTAACCATTAAAAAAAACACTTTCAAAACAAGCCTTGAAGAATTGCTCACTTTGTACAATCAGGGATGGGACATTGCCAAGCTGTCTGAACCGGAGCTAACCCGCTTTCCTCTGTGACAGAAGGACACAGAGCGACTGCTCTTGGAGAAGTTAAGGTTACGTGTTCCTGTCTGCTCAGAGCTACTGCTTCGAATCTGGGCTAAGATGACACCACTTGAAAGCTACCCTCAGGCAGCATACGGGACCATATTTGATGATTTTTGGGTTGAGTCCTACTCTCTTTGGGCATATGGTCATATAACAAAAATATGCTCCCCTTCCCTTTCTTGACAGTTTTTGCTCAGCCAAGAATTGAAGGATTCTGACTTTGATTTAAGCACATGCTTGATTCTGTCATCCCCAAACCCAGAAATCAGTGTGAGATACTATATATTTAGTTAAAAATTAAGGGCAGAATATACTTAATAAGCATATGCTGCAATACTGTCCTGAAAAGGGACACTTAAGGTTACTTGTAGAAAATGGTGAGACAAAATGTGGGAACAGCCTGGGAACTGGGAACAGCAAGATCATCAGTGGGGCACTTCTAGAACCTGTGACACTCCCCTTCATTCTCTGTGTATCTCCTGTAGGATTTCTCTTCCTTCCCTCTCCTTAAATTAGCTAGTTGGAGCCTTGTGCACTGTGTGGAAAGTTTTTTTCTGTTTTTATTTAAAACTGCCAATGTTGACTCTGTATCATTCAAACTCCTTTACTAGAACTACCAAGTACCCTGCGTAAGGCTAAGGATATTGCCTTTCTCAGTGAAACTTGTTTTTTCTTAAGAAAGGTAACAACTGCCTGAAGAGATCTTTTTTTCTTTTCCATAAACTGTGTTGCTTGACATTAACCACCTTTCATCGCTTTTTTTTAGCCTCATCCTGTACTAGCTGCTTCATTATTTTTCCCTGGATTGATGTCAGACTGAGAAGTCTATAATTATGTGGGTCATCTCATTTATCCCTATTAAACATTGACACTAAATATTTAATATTAAATAGTGATACTACTGGATGAAATGTAAGCTTTAGGAACGTACCAGGTTCCTGGCCCTACAGTTGACCACGCAGAAACGAGCCAAGTACATGCATGGGCCTGTGCCAGAGTCAGGGCCACGTAAGAGGACTCAGCTCCTTTGTTGCTTGCTGTTAATCATTCTGCACACGTGCCCGCTTTTTGTTTCGACAGGGTCTGAAAACTCCTTAGGAGTCATAATGACAGTGTCATGATTCCCAGCTGAATCCACGGTTGTCTTTGGTGTCTCATGGTTTCAGGCATTTCTACTGAAATTTGGAGCAGAAGACAGATTCCTTTCTGATCAGCGTCCCTGCGTGATAAATGTAGGGCTATTCATCAGTGGTGTTAGGAGACAGTTCATGAGTGAAGCAGCTGTAGTTACATCTATTTGGAAAGTGAAATCAGATCCCATAGGTACTTTGTGTGGATGAAAAATAGCCATAGTGTTTTTTGTAAGGTTTTCTCCTTTTTTTATTTCCAGGTGCGAGTCTGAAGTGTCCAGCATGACCAAGCAGGTGTTCTTAATTGTCCTGCCCTGTATTTATTAGTATGTTTTTACTGATTGCTCCTTCTGTGGTATCCTGCTTGTTAGCCAAATTAAGGCTCTACAGAATCAGAAAGTCTTGTCATCACGGTGACCTACATCAGCTGGCTGTATTTAATTTCTTCACATGACCTCTTGCTCTTGCATAGCAGCCTTCTAGTAGGTAGATGTTTTTGTAGGGCAAAGGTGCTGAGAAAGAGAAGAAAAAGTACCCACTCACCTAGAATGCAGATCATAAAAAACTTTCCCAGAACTGACCGTTCTTAATTTCCTGTGCTGTGTCTGTTTGAAGCATTTCTGGTGAAAAGCCAATATGATCTGTGTTGCTGTTTCTAAACAAATGCCTCCTTATCTGGTAAGGTTATGTTTTCTTTCAGCTTCCCAAGCAATTCTACTTAGAAAGAAAAGCAAATCAAATGTCATTCTTCTCTTCTTTTTTTCGCTTTCATATTATTTTTTCACTGCTAGAAGCAGGAAAAAAAAGCCTAATTTTTTTTTAACATTTACAAAATAATAATACTAATAGTATTATATAGAGATATCTTGTCTGTAAATCAGTGATGAAAGTCAGCCTGGAGTCCACAGAAATAAATGTGCAAATGGCTATATTGAAAATCAATGTGGTTTTGTAAGAGAAGACTGTTTTTAAAATCCTTTGTGCTTATTGCTGCTCTTCTAGTTATGACATTTTACGTTGAATTCTTTGTTTCCGAGAGTTAGTCTGAAAATGTTAGGTCAGGTAACTGCTTTTCCTCCCATTTTCTTTTTTCATCTGCACAAGCGGGCTTTGTGCTCCAGTAAAAGGAATGCACATGACCAATATCTCTGTAGATGACAGTATTGCCTACAGCACAGGCAAAGCAGAGAATGCCCAGCAGTACATCATTTGCCAAACATGACTGGCCTCCGCATCCCTGTGCCTGGTGGAGTATCACACTAGCAGAGGACATAACGTAAAACATGAATGTGGGAAAACCTGGGGCCAAGCTGCTTCAACATATGCTATATTTCCATGTATATGGCACTTTTGACTCCATGGCAGCAGCAAGTTTTCCAGCAGCAGCTTAAGACATTACCATCTCTGGTTGCTTGCGTATACATAGAAGAAGAATATGCTTGTGCCTCAGCTCATCTAGTGAGAACTGGTGGAGATGAAATAGATGCGAAAGATAGATTTGCACTAACTTATGAACTCTGCTGGAATCCTTCTGCAGAGACTGCAGCCTCCCACCAGGCCTGGTAAGAGGCAGGTTGAGGTAAAGACCTGCTACACTGGTGCAGCTGTGTCCTCAGGGCATGGGTCACAGCCCACCTGCTGGTATAGGTGCTGGGAACTATTTAGGAATGGCTCTACTGAGTGGGTCTGGGAAGGTTTGAGATGTTTGTAGTGCTGTGAGTTTGTACTGGGTCTTTTGATAAGAAGGAAGTCACAATTTTTTTTTTTTTCTAATTCAGATTTATGTTTCTGTATTTCAGTTGTCTGTTGGATGGTGGCTTTCCAGGAATTTCTGCTTTGTTCTATGTTGGCATGTGGTATCTTCCAAAATGAGGCCTGGCTTAGGGTAAGAGTAGAAGTGACCCTTGATATTATGCTGTGGTTTAAATCTGATGGTCTGATTTATGGTTTTTTTTTTTTTGTTTTTTTTTTTTTTTAATAGTACATGGTTTTAGGTTCCATCCTATCATGCCCCAAACCTTTGCCTTTCCCATTTGCCTTAAGTCGCTCATGAACAAAAGCTACCTTATTTTTAGATCCTGCAATCTGATGGGCTTCCAAGGTTGCACCTCCTCAGTCAATTTCGTTCCTGTGTAGCTATTCCACTCACATATACACTGTAATCTTTAGTTTCCTTATGTGCATCTGTCAGCAGCATGTGTGTATCTACAGATGTTAAATCACTGAAATGCTGTGATCAGGTCTGTGTGCTTTGTGCAGCCTCCAGTGACTAAGCTTTGCTAAGGAGTGTTTTAGGAAAGCAACCAAAGAAGTTAAGGAAAAAATATTTCATAGGATGTGTGGTAGTAGTCTGTCAAGAAAAAGGAATACTCCAACCCTTCTAAAAGATATGGAAAAGCTGTCAATCTTATGACTGGAGAAAGCTACTCTGATTTTTGTTTGATTACCTGAGAGGTTTCATATATACCATATATCTGTGTTCTTTATGCTTTATATTTTTGTACAGAATTTTGCATGTATGTAATATCAAGTTATCTGTATTTTTTTCCTTTCAGTCTTTCTGTATGTGAAGTGCAGTTTAACACACAAATGTGAAATAATGTAAAATACCTGTTTCACCACATGTTTCAGCATCAGTTATTTTTGGAAGTCATAGCTAATATTTTTGGAAGTCATAGCTAATATTTTTCCTTATTTCTTGCTAGAACATTCACAGTTATGTATTGTGCATAGGAATACTTTCTTCAGTTATGATCTGCTGTGATTTGATTAAAAAAAAATAAATAGAGTGAATTAAAAAAAAAAAACATAATGGTTTGCTATAATTAAATTGACTTATGTTACCCTTGGTCATTTTATCTGAGTAACTTTACATATAAAATGGCAGTGTTCCTTGTGCACAAAAGTTCCTGTAGAATAATTGAGAAAAAATGTAAAAAACATGTTACTCTTCACCAAGTATGGGAAACATAAAATACATCCTCAAAGCAGGCCATTGTTAATTACATTCAGCGTTCAATGCAATGACTGAAAAGGCCACTGTCACCTACTTTGCTGCTTAAAGAAAGGATTTTGGAAGGTGTATTCTTTAGTTTCAGAAATAGTTATATCAGCAAAGGAAATCTCTCTGAAAAGGGAATGAGAGAGAAAACAAAGAGAGATACTCCTTCAAACAATCTATTGGAATGGTGTTCTAGCTGCTTACAATATATTAGATTTTTAGTAAGGAAAAAATTCGGACAAAGCTTTTCATGGTCTATTCTCAGAGATATCACAGCCCATTAGCACCTCTCCTCAAAGGAATGCATTAATGAAGGCTGATTTGGATACCACTATGATGGACATGACATAGAAAAAGCAAGGAAGAAGAAACCTACCAAAACACGGTGATTTGTATTCTCCTTGTTGGCATAGAAAATGAAATAGAGAGCTTCGTATAATCTGACCATGTTCATTGTGTGTGTGGAAAAATGTTGGTTCTCAGTCCGTGTACTGGAATGAGCTGATGCTAAGGATTTAGCTGATGGTACCACTGCTACCACTTCACTAAATGGCAGACCTTTCAGGAGATTCTTTGTGACTGAGATAGCAAGTCCCACGTGATAACTGGCAGAACTTCAGACATATCTATTCTACGTGATGCAATTAGTTAAGCTTGCTGTGAATTGGGTAGGTAAAATATCAGTAATAGATGAACTGCATAAAACATGTTGTATGTGGAGATCTACTTAATCTTGCTGGGCAAACAAGAATGGTTCTTCTTTTGTGCAAGTTAGCTTTGTCTAGACATACCTGTAGCCTCCTCATCCACCTACTACTTCCAGAAGTTTTTCTGCTATGCTCGTCAGTCATTTTATATGCTTTAGAATGCTATGCAATGGCTGTTTAATTATGCAAAGTGAAGGTGTAATTAAATTTCACTGGAACTATAGGGATTTGAATAGGATGAAATAAAATAGGTTTAGTTTTACAAGCTCAGTGTGCCACAGAGGAATTGCAGAGCTCTTTGATTTTCTTTTTTCATATCTATAATTACCTTCAAGGGAATGGTGAGTTTGGGCCCAGTGTTGCTCTCTGTGCTTGTGACAGACAGTGTAGAAAGTTCACTTGTGAAAGTTGTACGTTGACATATACCACTCTAAGATGAGATTTCTTTTTCTTTAAGAAACCTACGAGAGCTGCAGAGGAAAGAGGGGTGGAAAAAAGAAAGAGGAACAGTGCTATTTTCAGACGACACAGTTACTTCCATATTCTAGATATAGTGATGACTTTGAACTACTAAGAATATTGAAGAGTTATATCTTCACAAAGAAAGTCATTTGGTATGTTTAACTTGACAACTACCAGTAGGCAACTACTTCAAGAGCCATTCAGGCTGGCAGCAGGGCTTTCTGCCATTCTGGCACTTCTCTCTGCTGCTTGTTATTCCCACTGGTCTTCCAAAACCTGAATGTGCTGACCTGCAAGTCAGGACAAAAATAAATAAATAAGAATTTATTGTCAACATCCTTACAGTGGAGACAGGAAGAAGCCCCTTTGGGTTCATCTGAATTTCATATTTGATACTATTGTCCTACTAGTTTCTTTAATACTCAACTTCTGTAAACTTTCCATTGTAACTGCCTTAGGTTTTCATTCTTTATGAGACTATCTTGAATAACAGCAAGAATAACTGCTGAATTAAACATTTAAAATTATTTCTGTCACCTTGCCAGTGAATTCAAAATGCTACCCAGTTCCTTTACCTTTCCAGAAATATGATATTATCTCATAACTTGAGCTAGCATATATAATGAAACTGATGATATTTTCTGTCATATGATTAAGCTTTGTGAACAAAACTCTTTGGGGCTTGTGTATGCATGGGCTGTAATTCCTGCAGGGAGCTTACGGCCAAGGTTGCAGGTGACTAAATTGATTTGTGTTCAGAAGTGCTGAATGGGTAGACAGCAAGACTTCCCACCTGGTTCTTGCTTGTCTGATCATTGTTGTTTTATATGTATGTTATTTTTCTCTAGAATGCAGTGCAGATCCTTTTTAATGTTTTAATCTCTATCTGGGCAAGTTCACTGAGGGTCACCTTACAAAAAGACTCATTTTTCATTTCTATGAAAAGAGCTTGTCTACCAAAGAGACAACTTGGCTTGAAAAACTATAATTGCATTTAAATGACACTTCGCAGAAGAAATAAAGAAATACTTAAACAAGAATAAGTACAAACTAGTCAACTTAAAACCACAATAAAAATGGTTTGCCTGCAACTGTTTTCATTCCTGCTGCCCAAAAGTGTGTTACAATACTGTTTATTTTTATGCCTTGTCTCTTTACTCACCTGTGTTGTCCCAGTGCCCACGTTTGTGCTACAGCACATGTAAAGGTGAAAGAAGATTTGTGGTGGTGCTGGCTAGGGGGTGATGTGAGAGGAACACTTTCTACTGTGCTGGAGAAATCTGCTGGGGTGCAGTGTGTCTGAATGGTTCATGTTTTGTGTTAGAAGTGTCTTGTGGGGTGGAAAGCAGAATCAGCAGTGGGCAAGGTACTTGCTCTTTTCTGTATTCTATGAAGAAGGAGAAAAATCAATGATAAGCTCTGGTACATACACTATGTGAACTGAGATGTTTCACGACATGAAAGCACATCTTTTTAAAGTCAGAATGCATTTCTGGTTTGGATGGTGGTTGCCACTAAAGGCTTTATACTAATGCTGTTATTGGGGGCAGCTGTATTATAGCACTACTTACTTATTTATTCACTGTAGTGACAGTTGCATTTCATGTAGCAGCTGCTGAAGCCAAGACTATTCAGCAAGGGCAAAGTGTGATAAGACTTCAATGAGATTTTCTTGTGCAACATTAACGTTGTTTGTTCTTTTTTTTTTTTTTTTTTGTATAGGAACAAATATTTTCCATGGCCATTTCCAAACCTTTCTTTAGTGTTATCAAAGAATTTCTGTAGCCACTAATCAGGAATATCAAATTCACTTCATTTCACTACCCTATGTGTGAATCTATTCTGGCTATATATATTGTATGCATGTTTGTTCACAGACAGCTTTATAAATGCTAAATGAGTGAAAGTCACTAATATAATAGGAACAGCCTACTCCATGTTCTGGACACTTTCAGCTTCTCTTCAGTGTAATGATAGCTCGGTCTCTGGGTAGTGGGTGGAGAAAACCCCGGTGTAGTACACAAATGATTGAGGAAACTCCTGACATATACAGAAAATTATATCTTCTCTGGAAGCCTTATTGATAGCTTCTGAATTTTAACTAAGCATTTGATGGAGAAAGAACGAATTCTGCCTTGGAGGATATCAATGAGATTTTTGGGTTTGTGCAAATGTGACCAGAATGTCTGCAGTTCCAAGGTTTTTATTCTGCTATTATTCATCCAAAGTTTTTTTTTTTTGCCTTTTTTTTTTTTTTTTTAAAGTATAGTGACTTCTATTGTACTGGGAACTAGATCAGACTTGAACAGTTACTTTGTTGTTTGTGAGTTTCTATAGTTATTTTTTATTTCTTCTTCATTTCATTTTTGTGTTGCTATAAAGGGAAGTCTGGCAGCTGTATTCTTGTGAGTGGATACAGTGTGTTTAGTTAACAGAGCAAAAATGTCCATGTTCTGCTTGGCTGAGGAGAGCCTGCAGTGAAGCACCCATGAACATACTTGGGCTGGGTTGTGGCGGCTGGCTTCAGCAACAGCCCTGCTTGAGGTAAAGCCACTGGTTCTGTGGATCATGATGCTTTTGGGCACAGAGTGCAGGTTAGAGATCAGACAGTTCACCACATTTTGCCCTTCCTGCCATAAGTTGCTACCCAAAAATTTTTGGGCTCATTTACTGCTGCACTGTGGTAACTCTAAGAGGAAGTGCTTTTAATCCAGG